AGAAAATAATACTTGGTTAGAAAATTCTGCAAGGCAGTGTAAATACTGTACAAAGAGGTGCTTGGGAAGTAGGTTTGGGAAATAAATTTAGCCAATATAGCGTGCTACTTGTGTAAAGTTTCTAAAAATGGTTCTTCTGAGGTAGACTTGCTATTTCTGTAAGTGTAATTTCCAAGATCATTCACAAGAAAAAACAGATAAGTTGGGTTTTATGAAAATTTTGCAGGTTTTTGTTTTTGCGGACAAAGTCTGTCTCAGTGTTTCTATTACTGGGATAAAACCATAACTAAAGCAGCTTGGTGAGGAAAGCGTTATTTGGCTTACACTTCATATCTCATATCATTGAAGGAAGTCAGGACAGGAACTCAAACAGGGCAGGAATCTGGAGGCAGAAGCTGATGCAGAGGCCATGGAGGGGTGCTTCTTCCTGACTTGCTCAACCTGCTTTCTTATTGAACCCAGGACCAGGACCAGGACCAGGGATGGCCCCACCCACAATGGGCTGGGCCCTCCCCCATCAATCACTAATTAAGAAAATTCTCTACAGCTGGGCATTGGTGGTTCACACCTTTCAACCCAGTACTTGAGAGTCAGAGACAGCAAAGTAAGTTTGAGTCCACCCTAGTCTACAAAAGGAGGACAGCCAGGACAGTTACACAGAGAAAACTTGTCTCAAAACAACAACAAAATGCTCTACAGCTGGATATTGTCAAGGCATTTTTTTTTTTTTTTAATTGAGGTTCCCTCCTTTTGTAACTCTCTCACGTTGGCGTCAAGCCAGCCAGCAAAGCCCTGGCTGTTTTGGAATTCACTGAGATCCACCTGCTTTTGACTCCTGACTTCTGGGATTAAAGGTGTGTGCCACTACACCTGGCTGGAGTATTTTGTTGTTCCAGTGCCATTTATATCAGAAGAAATAAATTTTTACTAAGGGATTTGTTGTGGAAACATTGTCCTAATCTTTCATTCTCAAACCTTGGATTGGTACAGCACTAGTTTGAAAGTATTGACTAGATAAAGTGATGAACACCCACCAATGGTTGTCTTCCAGTCTTCTGCAGACTGTACTGGCACTTTGACAGTGTGTCACTAGGAAGAAGGTAGCATGAGCTTTTGCACGATGGCCAAAGTGTTGTAGATAACCCTGGTGCAGCTTCCTGTTAGACTGGTACGTGCTTCTCATGGTGTTTTCATGACCCACAGACTCATAAACACACCTACAACCCAGCTCTTACCAGTACCAGGAGATTTGTGGGTACATCTTTCTCTTCTGTACTTTTCTCAGTGTATTCTAAATGATTAATTTCTGAGCTATATAAAATAAATCAAGCAAGGGACTGGAGAGATGGCTCAGAGGTTAAGAGCACTGGCTGCTCTTCCAGAGGTCCTGGGTTCAATTCCCAGCAACCACATGGCCGCTCACAACCATCCCTTATGAGATCTGGTGCCCTCTTCTGGTGTGCAGATATACATGGAAGCAGAATGTTGTATACATAATAAATAAATAAATCTTAAATAAATAAATAAATAAATAAATAAAGCAAAGTCAGAGCTAGCCGTTGTACAAATGTAGCAGCCCTTGCTCCATGTAAGGCTTGGAAGTGATGCTGTGAAAGTGTTTTAAGAATGCGACATTAGCTTAGCAGGAGTGGTGACATCTTTAATCCCAGTATTTGGGAGGCAGAGGCAGATGGATCTCTGTGAGTTTGAGGCCAGCCTGGTCTACAGAGCCAGTACCAAGACACCCAGGGCTGCACAGAGAAATCCTGTCTTGAAAAACAAAACAAAACAAAAAAGCAACCTTAAAGTGCCCATTACTTTGAATAAATTTATTGTTTGTAATTCAATGTCTCTGAATATTGCCCTGCAATCTGGAATTTGGTTGTTTTTAATGTTTTTCTTAAAGATTTTTTTTATTTATTATGTATACAACATTCTGTTTCCATGTATATCTGCACACCAGAAGAGAGCACCAGGTTAAATTGTAGATGGTTGCCGGGAATTGAACTCAGGACCTCTGGAAGAGCAGTCGGTGCTCTTAACTTCTGAGCCATCTCTCCAGCCCCCGTTTTTAAAGTTTCATATTTTTTTAATTAAAATATAAATTACATCATTTCTCCTTCCCTCCCTCTACTCTCCCCCCATTCCCTCTCAAATTCATGACCTCTTTATTTTTTCCCTTTGCTTTGCTTTGGTCCCCTGCCCCTCCCCTTCTCCCTTCCCCACCGCCATCTACCCTCCTGCCCCCCCTCCCCTCTCCTCTTTAATATAGCCCTGGCTGCCCTGAAACTCACTCTGTAGACCAGGCTGACCTCGAACTCACAGCGATCCTCCTACCTCTGCCTTCTGTGTGCTGGGATTAAAGGCATAATACATAATACATAAATACAACCTGTTTAGTCTGTTTTAAGGACTTTTTATTTTTATTTGTTTATTTTTTTTAATGTAGGTAACTACTGTTGCAGTACCTGCCTCCATTCTATTCTTACCTTAGCCTTTGTTTTCACTTCCTCTGGATCATGAAGGGCTTTATTGAAATGATCAGAAATGTGAATACCGTTACTCTAACTGCTAACATTGAGCTCTGTCACTCAGTGATCAGCTTTCCAGGAAGGCAAACCAAATCCAAACCAGTCTTTAAGCAAACATTATCTCATTTAATCTTAGAAATACAAAATGCTGAGATAGACAGTGTTCCCCTTACTAATTACCTTGTGAAGGCTAATAGGTAATAATAGAAACCACTAATTTTTTTTAAAGCATAAATGCTCTAAAGGTCTGCTGTAGTAGTTTTATGTAATAATAAAACACATGCAATAGAATGATAAGGATCAAAGCTAAGAAGCCTGTCATTTTCCATTACAGATTACCTCACTTGAAGTCTTTTTGTTTCCTTGTTTTTTTTTGTTTTTTTTTTTTAAAAAGGTCAAATGGTAAAGAATAATAAGGGCAGGGTGCAAACCCTGAAGGGTGACTGTTTCACAAATTGCATTAAGGGACAGATAAGCATTGGCAAGAAGATCAGAGGCCAGAGTAGTTGATAAAGAGGGTTATATTACCTGTAGAAACATCACAAAGAGGTTAAATTCTACATTCTTGGTTAATTTTCATTGCTCTAGGTTTGTTTTTCTTTGCATTTCATCCCTTCCCTTAGCCCTAACTAAGCCTCTTGTCATATAGCTTACTTTAAAAAAGTGTCTTTTCATAGATGAATGCTAGCATTAAAACTGGTAATACTGAATTTACATGTATAGTCTTCTCAGATTTAGTAAAGAAAGAGTTAATGGCATCAACAGTAAGCAGGAAGCTGTTAGCCTTATTCATATGATGGAATGAATAATTTAGTATATTCGGGAAATGCAAGCTGCAGTAGAATTTAAGAAACCCTACCAGAAAGTAGATCAATGTTTTGCTTGTTAGCAGAAATAAAAGTCACCAGAAAGAAGATGCTTCAAGATGACAGGTGCAGGGACACTGCTTAGCAGTTCAGTTGTGAGAAAGATTAGGAGTTCTTGGTTGGAAATAGTCTGCAGTGACAGCAGTGCCTGCACTCTGACAATTGTCAGGTGACTTCCTGCCGAAATGATTGCTCATGGGATGGGGCCGCTTCTTTGCTGTCAGAAACAAGATATTTTCTCTGGTTTTTCATGTGAGTTTTTTAATTGTCCTTTAATGTTTTCCCATTTAATATGCATTAAAGGAACGAAAGGGTTAAAAACCTGATAACTAGGCATGTTTACTAATAGAGATTTGGTGGAAGTAGCATCTATAAACATGAGTGAGAAAGATTTTTATAAAGGAGTTTAAATTTAAAATGTAATTATCATAATTTTTCTAAAGCGTTTAGCATAATCTCATTAGCTTGTTGAGCTTGTCTTCATGTGCCTGTGGTTATGTTATTACTCTTAAATATTGTGCATGCATCTTTGAGAGATGGGTGGGTGGAAGTACTTGCAAAGCTGGCATTATCAATTTTATTGTATTGGTGTTTGAAGTACCTACTGCATCTAAGATTTCATTGGGCTATGTTGTCTTGCTAAAAATGATTAAAATTTTTTATTTAGATGATTACCATATTAAGATAAGCCCTTGAATATAAATTGGTTTGGTTCTGATTTTTGCTTAGCAGTAGTTGACTTATTTAAAGGATATATTGAAATACTGTCTCGTTCACTTTAATGTGCTCTTCCTTAAACCAGCATGTATTTAATCCATTAACTGTTTTCTTAGCTGGTACCCATAAGAAAAGAAAATCCTTTCCTTACTGAAAAGGTTTCCTGAGAAATACTTGATGTACATTTTGCATGTTATTAATAGTAGAAAAAATTTTCTCAACCAAGTTTTAGGTATTGCCTTGATTGGATAAAGCATTCCTCTTTTCAGAAGTTACCACTTTCGCTTTGAGTTTTTCTATTTCATTGATTAAATTTTAATGTAAATCATTTAGGTTAAATGGCCACACAGTATTTTTAGTAATTCATTTTGTCAAATATGTTTTCATATCTAGGGAAAAATAATAGTGAAGTGTGTCTCTGTAAACCTTGTCGGTTATTATTAAGTACAAAGTAGTCTCATATCAGTAAACATATATTACAACCTTTTAATGATAGCCTTTGACTTTTTCCAGCTGATATGTGAGCAATCATAATTAAATTAATCTTAAGTATTTTCCCCTGAATTTTTTTTTTGAATGCAGTTCTCTTAAGTGGGAGGGTAGACCTCATGAAATTAATTCTGCTGGCCATGTATCTTAACTTTCTATACTTAATTTTCACCAGTGTTTTAAAGGATACAGTCTTAAAATGCAGATTGCATTCTTTGATTGTATGACTCAGGAAATATTTAAGCTGTGAAATTATAAAGTTTTGAGAATGAGGATCTAGATAGGACGTATGTATAAATACATTTTGAACATTTCAAAGCACCTTTTAGTTAATGTGAAGTTCTTCAGATGGCCCCTTTGTCTTTCGAAGCTTCTAACACCGAGGTGTCTGTTCCAGCCCAGAGCAAGGTTACTGCTACCCAGGACAGCACTAATTTGCGATGTATTTTCTGTGGTAAGCAACATTATGTTTACATTACTTTTTCAAGCTGTGGTACATACGACTTGCACATTTCCATAACTTTTGTTTCCTAGGCCATAGTCTGGTTTGTGGTATCTGGGATATAAAGCAGGCTTCTGTTTTATGTTGTGATATTTGTTGTGGTTCATGTAGGTGGTTTTGAGTTAGCTTTTGAGTTGGCTTACTAGTGAGGATTTAGTTAGAAATAGAATCTTAAAAGAGAAAATTTTTAAATTATAATTTTCTTTGGGAGCCCACATTCAGTTCAGTTTAAGAGAAGGTATATGCATTTTTCGTATGATTTGAGTAATGTAAATGTGCCTTATTTGAAAAGAGCTTTATTTACCTTGAATGAATTCCAGGTGTGCATGTTGTAGAGGCAGATGTAAGCTTACTTTTTTAATAGGTCGGTTTCAGGTGGCAATCTCCTCTGTTGAGCAGGTTAGGTTTCTGTGGCTTAGAAGTGAATTTAGGCTTATAGATTGTTTTCTGTCATTCTCATAAACATACATGTGTGTACATACATGTATTATTTGCATGGTTAAATTAGGTATGTCACTTAGACACCCCAGGATGGACCTGACCAATCATTTATATATAAACATATATATACATATATATATGCATATATATAAATTTTGTAAAGAGAAATTGTTTATATAGATAAGTATGTAAATACATATCATTGTTTGAATTATTTATTTCTGTTTGATTCTGAATCTTCCTGTTTTAAAAATCCAAGTTTCAAAAAAAGTCTTAATTATTTGAACTTTTTTTTTATTGATTCACGTATGCCTTTTTGACTATCTATACCTTGACTAGCTAGATTATTTCGTGAGAGAAAACTGTAAGGTGATGTAGCTAGCATGTGTACTTTATCCATGAGTCCCAGAATTTTTAGTGTGGTTTCTCAGTATTGTTGATAGGGTTTCTTAATGTTGATATGCTTACTGGTTTAGGCAAGCATACTATAAATGAGGAAAAATAGAAAATTCTAATGTATTTCATGGGCACCTAAGTTACATTGTGATTGCTCCAGCTGATGGTTGCAGCAGTGAGCACCTGTTTTATGACTGGTTGTTATAAATCTCTCCTACCCTCTCTCAGGCTGCAGCTTAGCGCTGTAGGTTGCTCATACCGGTGACTTCATTTCTGGTGTTGTCTTTCCCTGGGATCCTCCTGGCTTCTGTGAACAATCACGGATACTTGTGTGATGAGGCCTCTCTCCAGCTCATTTTCAAAACACACTTGATACTGTAACTTTGTGCTTGAAGCTTGAGATCCATGTGTAGAGTGAGAGTTAACCTATTTTTAAAGGGAAAGAGGTGATTTGACCTAATTAATACAGGTGAATTCTTAAAACTTATAAAATAACAGGTTAAAACAGATTTCCTTTATAACGGTCCTCAATTTGTAAGCCATCTACAATCTAATTGCCAGGTTTGAGTTTAATTGTATTATATATAATAGCACCTACTTGTATTGCGGTCCATGTGGAGCTAGATTCACAAGAATTAAAATGGGGAGAGTAAGCAAAATGTGCTTTAAAACAAAACTCAATATTGGAGGCAAGACTGAACCGCCATTCCTGTTGGAGGGAGGGGTTCATATCAGATTTCCATCATTTAGAGGATACTTATCAGCAACATTGCCATGTTGTCTTCGTTAGGAAAAGTAATTCACAAACATGTCTTTGCAACTTCTAGCCTTGGGCAAATTAAGACCACCCGTTGTCTAGTTATAAAGTAAACCCTCAGGAAGTTGCCATCTTTCCATGCGGGAGGCCAGAACAGTGTCACTTATTTCTGCACCTTGGTGGTTTCTTTTTTTCCCCCTTCAAAAAGATAACTGATAACCTCCATGCCATGCATATTAAAATATTGTCATTTGCCCACTGAGGTGGTTATGAAAGTACCTATTTTACTTTTTATGAGAACACAGATATAGGAAATGTAACACACATATAGGAATATGGCCCCTTTGAAAAAGTAGTATACATTCCAGAAAATACAGACACTGATAGCCTTGCCTAACCCTAGTTTCTGCTCTCTGTTGCTTATGTGATACCTTTGATATAGCTTACCAATTTTATAACCCATTAAAATGCTTTGACAAGAAGGAAACTGTAATTGTGTACCTCTAGTTCATAATTTACTAGAATTTTTATCGAAGAACTATTGTATGTTTATAATTAAATTATGTATAATTGCACATATATTTCAATATGCTAGTTTTTACAGCTTGGCAATATTGATGAAGAAAAAATAAGCAGATTAAATATAGATGTCAAAAAATGCCAAAGGGAGGGATTTTGAGACTGCCTAGATAAACAAATGGCTCATTATCATAAAGCTACATAGCAAAGAATTATAAGAGTTATTTTTAGATCAAAATCCCCATTTAAAAAGAATTCCTTGAAGTTTTTCTCATCTTATGTGCCAGGAATAAACTAGTGAATTTCCCTATTCAGTTTGTTTTATGAGTCATATCATGATCGTTAGTTTTTTTTTGTTTTCTGGTGGGGGGGTTGGTTTTTTTTTGTTTGTTTGTTTGTTTTGATAGTTTAGTTTTGTTGGTAGTATGTAAGTATATATAGCCCTGGGTGACCCTGAACTCAATTCTCCTGTGGTTGCCTCCCAAATGCTGAGATTACAGGCATATACCACCATTCTGGGCCCAGAGTTAGTTTTTAAAATGAACAAAAATTGTTTGATAGTATCAAGAAGTTTAGATTGAAATTTTAACATCTCTGACTTGAATTTATACATTTCAGCTAAAACATGGATTTAATTCATTAATAGAATGATTGAGATACAGTGCCTTCTCTAGATGTGAGCATGACATGGAGCATACTGAGTTCCACTGCTCCGTTCTTTATACTGGCCAAAGTTTTAACACTCAAACAATATTATTAAAAGTAAGTAAGGCATAATTGTCTTTAAAGTTGACCTTGCACAAACTGATTTTATAGTTCTAAAATGTAAGTGTGTGTATGTAAATTATACTTCCCCAATTTTATAGGTTCTTAAATTTGTCTTCCCCATTCAGATGTCTTTATCTTCTGAAAGGATCTTTTCTCTATAAAACAGTAAGCATTAGAGAGTATAGCACAGTATGACAGCTTTTTTCAAAAAGCCATTGTGTTAATTTCCCAAACATTCTGTTTATCAGACGAGTTATATTTTCATTTATGTAAACATTTATGTCTGTATTTGACTTTGATTTTAAAACCAGTTTTTGTTTTTTCTTGTTAATCACATGGGGTTGATTTTTATGTTTTCTTTATTGGTTTTCAAAGTATCAGACTTGAATCTAATCGGATATATTGCTGCAATTGTCATCTAATTTGTCATTAAGAGGGCAAATTAAATGGTTAATGTAAAAACATGTAAAGAGATGAAAAATTTAGTAGGTAGGTTGAGATCATTTCCTGTTTGTCACACCTGGGAGATGCTGGTGCTGTGTTAGACACACCCTGGTGAGCCTTTGCTTCCAGCTGCAGGGTTGGCTACTCCACTAGGATAAGATAGCTCCTTTCATGATCGTCACTCACAGATCACTATGACATGTTCTAGTACACACAGTGTTTATTTACTTCCTTCCTTATAGTAGTTTCTACAGAACTATGAGAATTTCTGCTAGGGGTTTTTGGTGGCACACTAGAAGTCAGAAATGTACTTCTCAGAGAATGAAGAAAGCTGTCATTACTCTCTTGCTTTTACTGTTGTGGATTAAGGTGGTTCTAACTCAACCTTAGGTATTATACTAGGTGCAACATTAACATCTCTCACTTAATTTTCATATCCAGTGACAATAAGATTTCCCATAATTTAGTGACAGTCTAAGATGCTAGAGATGGGTCTACATTACATGCAGATGTGGGAATAGACGGTCAGTGGTTTCTCGTGGCAGTTCATGGTGGTGTGAACAGAAGGTCTTTCCCTCCCCTGTCTTACTTCAAATGAAAAGTCGTTAAGATTACCTATAACATTAAAAATTGAGATAAATAGGTTAATACAGTATACGGGAGTTTAGGAAATGTTTGTTTCACCGATATTGGAAATGCTGTTCCACGAAACAGAAATGGCAGCTCAAGTTGGGCAAGTGTGATAAATGCATTAGCATACGTCAGTCTAGTAACGAGGTTCTCATGCTCTCTCTCTCTCCTGTTTTTTCATTTCCAGTGTTCTATTTAGGTGAGTTTTTTAATTCTGATTTTTCATTTAAGTTCTTCTTCTCCACCTCATGAACAATTACCCCCAACAGACTGTCTCATTGTCTTAAGAGAATGTCAAGCTCAGGTGCCTATTCAGATGCTCATTGAACACTTGTTTTATTCAAGCTCTTCATATATAAATGTTTATTTTTTTCCTTTATTGTTGGTGTTTCCATTTGTTTCAAGTAAGCCTTCTGAAGACGATGACAGTATTATGTTGCAGTCTTTCATTTGCTGTGTGTTATGTAAAGCTTACATTTTATTTTGCTAGACAAAAGAAGATGCATTTTTTAATATGTGACGGTTTTATGTTGTTCTCATGGTTTAATTTCTTCCATCTAGCTAGGTAGAATTGTAACATTCATCTGTAATGTTTCCCTCCCTTATAGGGCCAACATTGCCTAGACAAAATTCACAGCTACCTGCTCAAGTTCAAAATGGCCCGTCCCAAGAAGAGTTGGAAATCCAGAGAAGGTAAATCTGTACATTTACACTTCCTTCTTTTGCAGCAGACCCAAGGGACACTGACAATACATCATAGCCTTCAGTTCTTTGATATTGTGATTTCTATTTTATTCCTGGTGTGAAAAGCATACTTGTGGTGCATCTAAAAATACATCATAGACTTAGGGCATAAAAGTGTCTTTTCCTGTCCATCAGCCTTGTCCTTTTTCAGTGTGTGTCCGGAATGCACTGTACACCGGTGCGTGTAGTGCACCGTTTCATGTGTGCTAAGGATTGCACTAGAGGTAGACTTGAAATCATAACACAGTTTCATCCCTTCTTTGCCTTTTAACTAAAATCAAGCGTATAATACAACCCCATTCTGAATTATCCAGAATAGACCCCACACACACACACACACAAAATCACTTTAACATTTCAATATGAAGTATGAAATCATTAAGACAGTTTATATGGGATTGGAGAGATTGCTCAATGGTTAAGAGTAATGGTGGTTCTTTTAGCATCTATATGTCATCTGAGAGCTATCTATAACTTCAGTTCTGCCAGGGGTCCAGTGCCCTCTTCTGGCCCCTGCAGGCATTGCATATACACACTGCACAGACATACATGCAGACAAAACACCCACTAATACACATAAAATAAAAACAAATAGTTCTTTTTTAAAAAGACAGTTTATACCTGACAGTGGTGGCACAGGCCTTCAATCCCAGCAATTGGGAGGCAAAGGCAGGTGGATCTCTTGTGTTCAAGGCTAGCTAGGGCTACACAAGAAAAACTGTCTTAAAAAAAAAAAAGTAGAAAAAAAATAGATAGCTTATATCCTAATTTTTTATCAAAATTCAGTGTATATTTTGTACTTAAAACATTTCTGTTCAAAATAACCCTATTCTTAGTACTTAATAACCATATGTGGAAATCATTAGAGTAAATCTTTTAATGAAAATTTAAATAATTTATGTCTCCAAGATCTTTGGAGGGGGATTTTGTTTTTGTTTTTTGAGACAGGGTTCCTCTGTGTAGCCCAGGCTGTCCTGGAACTCGCTCTGTAGACCAGACTGGCCCCAAACTCACAAAAATCCACTTGCCCCTGCCCTCTGAGTGCTGGGATTAAAGGTGTGTGCCACCACTACCACAGGGCAGATCATTTCCTTTTTGTGCTTGTCCATTGTTCATATTAGTCAGTACTGAGAGGAAGCCCAATTTGAAGTATCTTCCCACCCCAGGGACAGTGGCATATAATCTCAATACTTAGATGGTAGGGATGGGGGATTCTGAATCAAGGCTAAATTTTTATATCATTTATATATTTGTGTTTAAACATAAATACACATTCATATGAGCATACTGACTTCATTGTGGGCATCTATTTGCATTTGAGACCGTGTCTCAAAAATAGTTTTATTTTCTATATAGCTTCATGGGAAGCTACTGAATGTTGTAGTCTGTTAAAATAAGGGAAGAAATCAAGAATTGTGTAACATTGTTAGAATCTAATTAAAGAGGGATTGAACTTGAAAGGATAATTCATAGTCTCCGAACAGCATCCCTCCCATGGCTCTCCATGGGTTTGTCTGAAGGGAAGGAGAACTGACTAAATAAAAAATTCTGAGCATTTGACATGTTTAACCATATAAAGGGGGTTGTTTACAGTTCTGATTGAGAACTTGAAGCGATACAGGATATGTAGAGTCGGTGTGAGGATATAGAGGGGGAAATAAGCTTAGGAAAATATTAGTGTTTACTACCTGAATAAGAAATTTCCCTGGAAAATAAGTATGGTGGGTGAGCAAGGAATGCAATACCACGATATTATTGCTCTGACTTTAGAGGGAGAGTGAGGAGTGAGCTGCGGGAGTGTAGCTTAGGGATAGAGTTCATGGAAGCCCTGGGTTCAGTTCCCACTGCCAACACCCAGATGATAGGAATTCAGTAATTTTTCTAGTAGGAAAACAGTGACATCTAAATTTGAAAAGTCAGGAAGAAATCTTTCTTATATTTTTGGTTGTAAACCTAGCCTTTAATGGCTGAGCCATCTCTCCAGCTCAAGAAGAAATATTTCTAAAGAAATTGCTGTGTTTAGAAACATGAAATAAATGCAAAAATATTGAAAACTTAATTGCTTCTGTCGAAGGAAACCAGAAGTGGTGAGATTGGTAAAATGCATTGTAATGGCATTGTAATGCTGCTCGACTTTTCAGCGAGGCACTGCTTTTACAAGCTGATTTCTTTAGATCAGTATGAAGTTAGTTGGTAAAATCAATGTTTATTTAAACATTAAACCTTGTTGATCTAATACCTTTATTATACTGCTCTTGTGTCTGTCATTCATTTAATCAGTTTCTGGTTTCCACTCATGTTACTAATACTTGGCTCCCTCCGCTGTGATGAGAAAATATATTCTAAGAAACATGAGTCAGTCTTATGCTCATCTCAACATAGAGGATAATTTAGTTACTATCTATAAATAGCCTGCAAATCATCACTACTCTCTGAAAGTTATAAAAGGGGACAATAATCCCCATGCAGAACTGAGGAACTGGAGTAATGAAAGTGTACAGCACTCCCATTATCCTTCAGAGGCAGGATGGACCAAGAGCTGGTCGGATTTTGTTGTAAGTATTGACTCTTGTCCCAGGAGCTTTGTGGCATTAAAACTTAACTGACTTTTTAGAAGTTTCTTCTTTTTCCCTCCTTTAACTAATAGAGATTGTACAATAGCTTGTATACCCTATTGTGTCTACACCAGGTATAGTAGGGTATACCTTTAATCCCAGCACTTGGGAGACAGAAGCTGGTGGGTTAGTGTGAGTTCAAAACTGGGCTACATAGTGAGAGCCTGTCTCAAATTGAAGTCTGTATTTACCCAGCCGCCACCATTCAAGGTAAACATGAATAAAATGTGTCTTTGCGTTTTATTTGTATTTAACATGCTTCTCAAGGCTGTGTCTTAAGTAGACATGAACTAAATTTGTGTTTGTATGTATGTATATTGATTTCATTGTGGGCCAGTTCTTTTAGCATCTGTTTGCATTTGGGGTCTTCTGTTTTAGAGAAAAATACTTAAGTGCTAGAAGAAAACCATATCTTTTATATTTTTATTCAATATGTTTAAAATACTTTAGTGGCCATAATAGTACTTGTTTATATTTATTTCTGGAAATGGTATGTAATTGTTTTCTCTAAAACATTCAAATTATTGAAAATGTGTATCTAACTCATAGAAAACAAGCCCATTGGAATTTTCCCACGACTTGGAATGCAGACAATTGTGCTGTGGTAAAATCAAGGCAGAGACAACAATGTATGTGACCTCTAGGAAGAAGGGCTTCATGAATTTCCAGCGTCAGCCTAGTAGTGATGATCCCGAAGAAAGCAGGGGTTATAATGTTGGAGATTTGGGCAAGTCTCACTTTATAGGTTAAAACATTATAATTAGATTCGTAAGCCATTCAATTGATGTAGAATTATTCATGCCACCAAGGATTTGTAAGTCAGGAAATTTGTGCTAGACACTGTTTATTCAATTACATATACATAGTCATCTTTTAAATGAGCAGGCCAACAGTATACATTACTTTCTTCAAACATCAGCCTCTTGAAGGTGTATCATCTGCATATTTGAGTTGTTATTGTGCCTTGTTCCTTAGTAGACACTCTTAACTCTGTAGACTGGGATCCTCTAGAGATTGTTGAGGCAGGTAGAGCAATCCTCTGAAGTCGATATTATAAATGTCTTTATTCAGTAATACTTCCAGATCCCTCACATACATACCTTTCTTTCCTATGATGACTACCAAAATTTACTTACTCTGTGTGTTAAAACCATTGTGTTGCTTAGAGAAATAGGTATTAGCAGCACCCACCCGCCAGCAGTTACAATGGGGATGAATTGCAGTCAGAATACCATGTAGCTCAACTGTGGACAGTGTTTATATATTGTTAGTATAACCCTGAATGTTGATTTAGCCAAGTTATTTTCTTATGGTGTGTGTGGGGGGGGGGTGTGGTGAGGGTGGTTGTAGGCTTTTGCCATTAGAAAATGTGTATCTAAAGTTAAGACACAAGAATCAGCTAAAAGTGGAAATGAGTGGTTAAGTGTTAAGACAGTAAGCTAATGTTTGCTTTGTTGTAGCTTTGTGTGTGTGTGTAATATTATTTTGAGATTAATGAAAAGAGACTGAAGCACAAAATGTAAACATCCTAAAACCTAAATTGTTTTCAAATTAGCAGTGGTCACTTTTCTTTTTAAAAAATTTATTTTTCATGTGTGGGTGTTTTGCTTGAAGGCCAGAAGAGGGTGTTGGATCCCCTGGAACTGGAGTTACAGATGATTGTGAACCACTGTGTAGGTTCTGGGAATCAAACTCAGGTCTTCTGGAAGAGCAACCAGTACTCAATCACTGAGCCATATCCCTAGCCCCTAATTAAAATTTTAATGCAAACCTTAGTTGAGTTTCTTCATTATAAGCACATTATTGAAAAAAATGTGTTTTTTGTCTAGTTTTTTTTTTAAGATTTGTTTATTATGTTTATTAGTGTTCTGCCTTCATGCCAGGATTAATAATATCCTGTACTGGAGACTGCTTAAACGTTAGAGCTAAGCAATGCTGTTGATATGCTCATGTCAGAATAAGGGTTTAGGGTAACTTTCCAGTGTGGATTGTGTCAGAGAAAAAGCAGATTTATGTGTGTGTTATTATAAAAAGGTCAGCCAGACGGTGGTGGCGCACACCTTAATCCCAGGGCTTGGGAGGCAGAGACAGGTGAATCTCAGTGAGTTTGAGGCCAGCCTGGTCTACAGAGAGTTCCAGGACAGCCAGGAGTACACAGAAACCTTGTGTAGAAAAATAAAACAAGCAAATAAACAAAAAACAGGGGGTCTAGATGTGTATTCCAAAATCAACTATAGTTATCTATAGGCCTGAAATTTCACTGATCTATAATTTATTTCTTATTTAACGGGGTTTATTTCAATCCCTCAAATGTTTATTCAGCTATAGCTATGATCATTGTGTTTTGTGAACTGTAGCTTGTGCACTTAATGTCACATTTTTAAGAAAAGAGAATTGCTTCGTTATCTGATTAATATAATTAATCAATCAATATATTGACTTGGCCTTTGGAGTGGAGGTTTGTTTGCTACTCTCTGCTCTCAAACATTGTGTTGATTGAGAGCTGTGGCTCTGGAGAGGGTGGTTCATTTGTATAAAACATGAGGCTTCTGTAAGGAAGCCTGCCTTTGTGCAAGTAGTACCCACAGTTCTACTTTCATTTATTCAATTTCTAATTTCAGGCAGCTGCAAGAACAGCAGCGACAGAAGGAGCTGGAGAGGGAAAGAATGGAGAGAGAAAGAATGGAGAGGGAGAGGTTGGAGAGAGAACGACTAGAGAGAGAGAGGCTAGAGAGAGAGCGCCTGGAACAAGAGCAGCTGGAGCGCGAGCGCCTGGAGCGGGAGCACATGGAGCGGCTGGAGCGCGAGCGCGAGCGGGAGCGGCTGGAGCGGGAGCGCCTGGAGCAGCTGGAGCGGGAGCAAGCCGAGTGGGAGCGCGAGCGCAGACTGTCCAATGCTGGTAAGGCGTCTGCACACTTGGCGGCCTGCATCTGAGCTGGGCGAGGCTCTGTGCAATCGTGAATTGTGATGTTTCTCGTGTGCAAGGCTTGGGGATAAGTAGTACCCTGTGCAGTTAGGATAAATACTCAGCAATTATTGCTTCACTGTTTCTTTTATTGCTTAGAAACTAAAAGAAAGCTCTTGGGAATTTTTATTCTGTCATTTTAATTCTTCTTGCCACCCTAAAATTCAGCTATGAAGTGTGAATGTGTTTTTATGCAAAGATTTTTTTTTATAATGACCTAGGAGGATATTTCCCTTGTGCAGGTGCTTAAAACTATCACATACTATATGTATTGTACTACATGCAGCAAGAAGTTAGCTCGGTTATAGTTATGTTTCTCAGGAAAAATTAAAGTAGATGAAAATAGTCTCTCTTAAAAATAACTGGTTATTTAACCATTTTCTGGTATTGTGAAAAATAACAATCTGATGGAATTTATCACGTGTCATAAAAGAGGTTTGTGATATGGTAAATTTTAAGGTGTTTCGTACTTGTCAAAGAATTTTTAATCTTTCTGAGCTACATCAGAAGCAGTGTGGGTACAGTATTGGCTAGTTGGTTAAGTTAATTCATTGCTTTTAATTGCCTGCTTGTCTGGAGTTACAGCTGAGAAGATGGAAATGTCCACACATAAGCAGAGTTGGGTGTTCTTTCCCTTTGTAGTAAACATTTTGCCAGGTTTGAAACAGCTCGCTTATTCTGCTGTTTGTAATAATTTCGATGATGTTTTAGTGGACTAAGTACGAAAAGTTAAGTCTATTACTATCCTTTTCTTATAAAGGACAGAGTATTAATCTTCATATTTAAAAGAACTTATTTCATCCTCTTTCGGGTTTCAAAATGTTTACAAGTTAAATTTTCTCCAGTGGAGACAATTATTTGCCTAATTTTCTGGTACTAACTATAGTCTACGTTTATACATTTTGTCTGGTTGCTGGTTTTGTGGCTTCACTAGCTCCCTTTTTCTCTCTCCTTTTTATCCTGTCTTTGCCTGCCGCTGCTTTCCACCTTATGTGCAGCTCCATCTTCAGACAGCTCCCTGTATAGTGCTCCACCTCCTGAGTATTCCAGTTGCCAGCCTCCTCCAGCACCTCCTCCATCATATGCTAACGTCATCTCAGCTCCAGTGTCAGACGCCACACCTGATTACGCTCTAGCGACTGCTTTGCCACCTACTTCCACACCCCCCACACCACCACTGCGACACTCAGCGACACGTTTTGCAACATCTCTAGGTTCAGCCTTCCACCCTGTTCTTCCCCATTACGCTACAGTTCCTCGTCCTCTGAACAAAAACTCTCGACCTTCTTCTCCTGTGAACACACCCTCTTCTCAGCCTCCAGCTGCGAAGTCCTGTGCCTGGTCTACTTCCAATTTCTCGCCCCTCCCTCCATCTCCTCCGATAATGATTAGTAGCCCCCCTGGCAAAGCTACTGGCCCAAGGCCAGTCCTCCCGGTTTGTGTCTCCTCTCCTGTGCCCCAAATGCCTCCGTCACCAACAGCACCCAATGGGCTGCTGGACTCTGTAACATACCCAGTGTCTCCACCGCCTACCTCAGGGCCAGCAGCGCCACCTCCACCACCGCCGCCACCACCACCACCACCGCCGCCGCCGCTGCCTCCCCTGGCCTCACTCTCACACTGTGGATCACAGGCTTCTCCTCCTCCAGGCACCCCTCTTGCCTCAACTCCCTCATCCAAGCCCAGTGTTCTCCCTTCTCCCTCTGCAGCTGCCCCTGCCTCTGTGGAGACCCCTCTAAATCCTGAGCTGGGAGACTCCTCTGCTTCCGAGCCAGGCTTGCAGGCAGCCTCTCAGCCGGCCGAGACGCCAACCCCGCAGGGTAAGGCTTCACTCCCACTGCAGACTCCTAGTCACTTCAGAGCAGTGTATAGCAACAGTGACTGCCTAGAAGAATGGATCAGAGGTTTTGATAACTGAGCATCTCTGTGCCACAGTGTACTACCTGGGTTGTTTAGTTTATCTTAAAAAATGAAGAATTTTTTTTATCCTGAGGCCTTTATTGTATACAGCAATTTAGTATGGGAGATATCCATATTAAACTTAGGTTTTTAGATCCATTGCAGTAAGAATTGTAGGAGGTACTTTCTAATATTTAGGGACCCCTATAGTAGTACATTTATTTTAAGCTTCACTAGGAAAACTTGACCAGTTCATGTTCCATGCAGTAAATAGGAGATCTAAATACTGTCTTGAAGACTTGGAGAGCTAGCTGTTCAATGAGTAAATCATCCCAGAGTTTGCCCAGGGCACTTCTGTCAGGCATGTCCCTTTTATTCTTAGCATCCAGTATTGAGCTCTCATTCGGCATTAGACTTGTAGGGTGGGTAGCATCTGGGCTGTTGGCAGGCTTGGTGTGTGCCCCCAGAGGATTCCACGGTCCAATTGCAAGTAGTGGTATAAATGCAAACAGGGTCCTCGAGGTTTCCCTCAAACACAAGCTGTTCCGCATGGCGGCAGAAGAGGCCATGTAAGAAACAGCAGGTATGGAGAATGTGCATAAAGATGGCCTGGTTCTGTGGGAAGACACAAGGTGGCCCTGCTTTCTGCTGTCGGTTTATAAGTAGACAACGTAGTGGGGATGCTGAAGACAAATCCATGCTTATAGGAACAACGTTATAATCTAGATTTAAACATAACCTTATAGGAACAACACTATAATCTAGATTTAAACATAACCTTGTTAAAAATAACTTTTTGATGATATCAGATTTTTCTAAAAGGTGAATCAGATTAGAATATGTGTAATTTAAGCTCTGTGATTGACATCTGATCAAAAGGCACAGGCAGCCTGACAAGGCTAACTGCCTCCTGCTTGGCTCAGAATTCAGTCTGCAGGGTGGGCAGCTTAGCTTCAACCCTTCGTTTCCCTATATGTCTGTTCAAGCCTCAGAAGTGGTAGCTACTACCCAGTGTGCAAACTCAACACTGTATTTACAAAAACAAAAATTAGCCCTTTTAAGCATTAAGTAAATGCTCATTAATTTTGTATTTTGATATTAAGTAAATTCTTGACTTTTTTTTTTTTTGCAAGATTTGAATACTTCTTATTCCCTGCCTTGAGGGCTAAAACATCTCTCTATATTTAAATTCTTAATTATTTCTCAGTTATTTTGAGGTTTTGTCTCATAGTTAATTCCTTTTATTTCTTCTGTGATTCTCATTTAGGCTATATGTTGAATTTACATGTAGAATCACTTTAAGATACTAAAACCCGAGATCCCCTTCTCTACAGTTTTCATCTTGTCTATCTGAAAACAAATCCCTTTTTGTCATCATAGTGAAGTATGTCATCTCAGCATCTAAGGGTTTACATGGGTTATCTTGGGGATGTTATCTCAGGCAGTACTAACTGTGCGTGTGTGAACATTGCATACTTTTCTAAAATAATACAAGCATTTGTTTTCAAATCCCTTGGTGGGGGTGGGGGGGTCTCAGTGGTTCTGTTATTAAAGGTCAAATATTAAATAGTTTGTATATACACTTTGCCTTTTGAAGTCTAGTGTCTTTTGTTAAAAACTAGTCTAGACTTTAAGCATTATGATAAATTAATTTCTTATGTGCAGTGTCTGAGTCAATTTAGAGTGTCATTCTATATAATCTGCCCTGAAACTACAATGGTTTAGCTCTGTTGTTGAC